TTTCTTCCTCTGATTCAGTTGTTGCCTTCTCTCATTCCATTTCGGTCAAGCTTGATGATTCCAACTTTCTCATCCGGCGGCAACAAGTTCTTAGTGCGGTGAAAGGATATGCTCTCGAATCATTTCTTGATTCATCAATTGCTCCGCCTGAGCAATTTGAACTTCATGATGATCAGTGTGTTGCATTTACCTTTGAATATACAAGGTGGATGCGTCAGGATCAACTTCTCATGTCCTGGCTGCTTTCTTCCATGTCTGATTCGGTCCTCACTCGTACTATTGGATGTGAGACTACTGCTCAGATTTGGGATAGAATCAGCATCTTTTTTGCTTCACAGACCAAAGCTAAGGTGAAGCAGCTCAAAACGACTCTGAAGAATACGAAGAAAGAGAATTCGTCTATGAATGAATATCTCTTAAAGGTTAAGGCTAGCATTGATGCTGTAGCTGCAATCAGCTCGTCGGTGTCTCTTTCTGATCAATTGGAGTTCATCTTCGATGGTCTCTCTGAGGATTATGATCCTTTCATAACCTCAATCTCCACCAGGCTGGAGCCCTACACTGTAGCTGAAATCGAAGCACTACTCATGGCACAAGAGGCTCGCATTGAAAAGAATCGCCGCTCTGTACTGGCGGTCTCTCCTATTATGGCAAATATTGCTCAAAACCGTGCTCCTTAACAAAGTCGTGGTGGTCGTAATCGCGGTCGACGAGGAGGAAGGCATGGTGGTCGTGGCAATAACAACAACTCTACTAAGTCAAAGGTGATCTGTCAGCTTTGTGGCAAGACAGGGCACATTGTTTCTTCGTGCTAGTACAGGTTTGATGAATCTTTCCAAGGTCTTTCTATTTCTGATTCGTCTTCTTCCACGGTACCTGCTAAACAGTCTGCTCTCATTGCTACTTCTGACACTGTTGCTGATCCATCCTGGTATTTTGACTCTGGAGCAACGAGTCATCTTACTCATGATCCGACTTCTCTAGCTGAATCTTCAAAGTATACTGGACCGGAGCAAGTCCACGTTGGTGATGGTCCAGGTTTGGCTATCAAATCTGTTGGCACCTTTGTTATTTCCAATACTTCTCCTTCTCTTAAACTGAATAACATTCTTCATGTGCCACGAATCATTAAGAATTTAATTTCTGTCTACAAGTTCTGTTATGATAACAAAGTCTCGGTTGAATTTGATGAACGACAGTGTCGCGTCAGGGATCCTAAAACTAACCGAATTCCCTATCAGTGCAATGTCAGAAATGGGATGTACCCTGCGTTGGACCTCAAGTTCAAGCCTCATTCTGAAGCTTGTTTCTCTGCTGTAGTTTCAAATACAAGCTGTTCTATTGACGCTTCTTGTAATTCCTTTCTGCTTTGGCACAATAGACTTGGACATCCGTCCTCCTTGGTTGTTTCCTCTGTTATGAAGAATTGTAAAGTGCCTCTCAATAAGATTGCTACTTCTGATTTCTGTAGAGCTTGTATACTTGGGAAATCACATAAGCAACCCTTTCCCTATTCCGATACTGTGTATGCTGCACATTTTGATATGATATATTCTGATATTTGGGGACTTTCCCCTGTTAAAACTCGTGATGGTTATCTCTACTATATTCATTTTACTGATGCTCGAACCAGATATACATGGATCTATCCTCTGAAACTTAAATCAGATGCCTTTGCTGTGTTTCAGCAATTTGTTGCCTTTGTTTCAACTCAATTTAATACTACCATTAAGATTTTTCAATCAGATGGTGGTGGTAAATATCATCGGTTCACCAAATTTCTTACTGATCGTGGCACAATCCATAGACAAAGCTGTCCTCATGTTCATGAGCAGAATGGTGCCGCTGAGCGCAAACACCGACATATTACTGAAGTTGGTCTTACGCTACTGGCTCAAGCTTCTCTGCCTCTCTCTTACTAGTATGATGCTTTTGGAATGGCAGTATCTCTTATTAATATTCTTCCCTCTTCAGTTCTTCAAGGGAAAACGCCCTATAAAACTTTATATTCCAGGGCACCTGATTATAGCAGACTTAGAGCCTTTGGTTGCTCTTGTTTTCCATTAACTCAACCATATAATCTTCACAAGTTTGACTATAAGTCTTCTGATTGTGTTTACCTTGGACCTAGTTCTACACATAAAGGCTACAAGTGCCTATCATCTTCTAGCAGAATTTATATTGCTCGGGATGTTGTTTTTAATGAAACCTCTTTTCCCTACCCTAGTCTTTTTCTCACAAATACCAAATCTATTGTTTCTTCACCTACTACCTTTACTTCTGTTGCCCCATGCATTGTTCCTGTACACTTACCTACCTCTCCACCCTTAACTTCACGTCATACTCTTTCACAGCAGTCTTCACCTCAACCTCAACCTTCATCAACCTTTACTACACCTCAATCTTCAGCTTCCACACTACCTTCACCTTCTCCTCATCCTAGTCCTTCCCAACCTCTATCTCAGTCTCCCTCCTCACCATCTTCTTCTTCCCAGTCTTCTCCTTCTCCACCTCCTAAATCTTCTCATCCCATGATCACACGATCAAAAACTGGAAACTTAAAACCCAGAGTTTTTGCTGCTACTGTTACTTCTGAACCAGATTCTATCTCTGCTGCCCTTCAATCTTCCCATTGGCGAACAGCAATGGAAGAAGAGTTCACTGCTCTACAAAGAAATAAGACTTGGTCACTTGTACCTTTACCTGCTGGGCGACAAGCTATAGGATGTAAATGGGTCTTCAGAACCAAAGTCAATCCTGTCAATTCTTCTCTCAAGTATAAAGCACGTCTGGTTGCTAAAGGATTTCATCAGTAAGAAGGGTATGACTTTCATGAAACCTTTAGTCCAGTTATTCGACCTATCACTATTCGTATAGTGTTAAGTATTGCATTGTCTCAAAATTGACACATTCATCAAATTGATGTGAATAATGCATTCTTAAATGGCTATTTGAAGGAGGAAGTATATATGGTTCAGCCTCCAGGCTTTGAAAGCAGAGATAAAACTTTGGTTTGCAAGTTAAATAAGGCTCTTTATGGTCTTAAACAAGCTCCAAGGGCTTGGTTTGAAAGGCTTGGTAGTGCTCTTATGAAATATGGTTTTCAAGCTAGTAGATGTGATCCATCACTTTTCATTCGCTCTACTTCCAGTGAATTATTATTTGTTCTGGTCTATGTTGATGACATTATTATCACTGGTTCTTCTAAGACCAATATTATGACTCTTATTGCTAATTTGGATCATGAGTTCTCACTCAAGGATCTTGGCCCGTTGAGTTTTTTTCTGGGTATAGAAGTTAAGAGGTATAAAGATGGCTCTCTTCACTTGGTTCAGACCAAGTACCTTAAAGATATTCTGTCTCGAGCTGGTATGGTCAATGAGAAAGGAGTAGTTACTCCTATGATAGTGGGTCTCAAGCTTTTCAAACACGGATCAGATGTTATGATTAATCCATAGCTTTATCGATCTATTGTAGGAGCTCTTCAGTATGCAACGATCACTAGACCAGAAATAAGTTTTGCAGTCAACAAGGTATGCCAGTTTATGCAGAATCCACTCATAAGCCACTGGAAAGCAGTGAAACGTATCCTACGGTACATAGCAGGTACATTAACTCATGGCATAGTTCTTCGGCCTTGCACCAGTCGAGTGATTACAGCATATTGTGATGCTGACTGGGCCTCTGATTGTAATGGTAGATGCAGTACTACAGGGTTTTGTATCTATTTTGGTACTAATCTAGTTGTCTGGTCATCTAAGAAGCAGGCTACCGTGGCACGATCAAGTACAGAGGCCGAATATAGAAGTATGGCCTCCACTGTTACTGAAGTATTATGGATAAAGTCTCTACTTCAAGAGTTACGTGCTGCACTTTCTGGACCTGCACGAGTGCTGTGTGATAATCTCAGTACTGTAATGATGACAGCAAATCCAATCTTGCACGCTCGGACAAAACATATTGAGTTAGATCTTCATTTTGTAAGGGAGAAAGCAATAAAGAAAGAATTTATTGTGCAGCATATTCCTAGCCAAGATCAAGTTGCAGACGGGATGACAAAGGCTCTGTCTCAAAGCACATTCCTAGATTTTAAAAGATATCTATGTATATCAGATGATTCAAATGATATATCAAGTAGCTCAAAGGGGTAGTTTGAATTGAGGGAAGATGTTAGAAATAATATTTTAGCTGTATATTAGCTGGCATATTTGAATCAAGTTGTTTCAGTTGTAACCGTCAGATTAGTTAGTGTAGTAACACGTGTATAAGCCTGATGGCTATATAAAGCTGTAATTTACACATTAACAAATCATCACATTCAGATTCTTTATAGTTATAAGACGGTCACGCATCATTAACCAAGCGAAACTCCTGCAACGTTGTCGGATTTTGAGTTTCCAAATGCTCAACCATCCAAGTGGGTGGGTCACGCTGTTCTGGTCTAGAGAATGATAGGCCGACTTGATTGTGAAGGAGCCGTGCTTTTCCCATTTCCATCTCACCCTGGTGTTACCGTCTCTATCCTGGACTTGCTGGATACCGTCTTCAACCTGTTTCCAATTTCGTTTGATGCCATTCCATGTGTTTGACCCCGGTTTGGAGATGTTGATCTTTGGCAGGAGGTCATCACCACAATCATACTTAGCTCTAATGACCCGAGTCAAAAGAGAACTTCGATTATTGACTAAGCCCCAACCAAGCTTCATCCTGAATGCCCGGTTTTGCTGTTTCAAGTGTTTCATTCAGAGACCCCCATGTTTCATTGCATACCTTATCCCAAGCTATGAGGTGCATCCTTTTTTTTCTTTCGTGGACCCCCAAAGGAAGTTGCGTGCTTGCTTCTCAATATCATTACACGTAGAGATAGGAATATTGGCGGTTTACATGGTGTAGGAGGGCATTGTAGCGACTACTGATTTGATAAGAGTGCCTCTGCCCGCCAATGAAATCTGAGTCGCATTCCAAGAGTTTAACCTGGTACGGACTTTGTCAAGGACAAACTAGTGGGTTTCTGAGGTGACTCTTTCATGATGTAACGGGACACTTAGGTACTTCCCAAGGTTGACAGTGCGAGAGAAACCGAAGGCTCCACTCAGTTGGGTGGCTCTTGTGTGATTAACATTGCGCGAGAAGAAGACTTTTGTTTTACTTAGGTTGACTCTTTGTCCTGAGGCGTCACAGAATTTGCTGAGGCGGCTGTTTATCACCTCCACTTGCTCCATGCTTGCTTCTGCAAACAACATCAAATCATGAGCAAAAAATAAATGAGAGATTGGGGGCCGTTCTTACCAAGTTTTATTGGTTTCCAACGTTTGGCATCCACCTCCACTTGTATGGAGTGTGCTAGTTTCTCCATGCGTATGATAAATAGATATGGCGAAAGGGGGTGGCCTTGCTCAGGGGTAAAGTTGTTAGCCTTCCTTCCTTCCCACATAATATTTGCATTGAGGAGGAGGAAATACAAGCTTTAATGATGTCTGTCACTCTCTTGGGGAATTGTAGTTCATTTAGGCATTCCGTAACAAAATCCCATCTAACCCAGTCGTACGCCTTCTCCAGATCAATTTTGAGGGCAATAAAGCCCCGCTTCTTATGCATGCTTCTCATGGAGTGTATAATTTCCTGGGCTACAATAATGTTCTCTGAGCTAGTACGGCCTGGGACAAAGCTACATTGATTCGGTGAGATGACTTGCGAGAGGAAACATTTAATTCTATTAGATATAATCTTGGTAATGGTTTTGTAAATTGCATTGCATAGGCTAATAGGTTGAAAATCATTTGTAAATTCGAGAGACTCCCTTTTCGGAATAAGGACGAGGTAAGTGTGGTTGATCTTTTCAATGTTAGCAAGCTCTTCAAAAGCGTCCTTAACAGTGTTGAAGACTGACACTCCTATGGTATCTCATTGGCTTTTGAAGAAGAGAGCGTTAAGACCATCCAGACCTGGAGATTTAAGCGCCCCATACTAAATATAGCTCTTTTAACTTCCTCATTAGATATCGATCGAGATAGATCCTCCAAGCCTGTCCTTCTTAACCGAGGATAGGAATAGCCGCTATGCAGAGGAGAGAGGCCGTGATTATCCCGCTTGAAGAGATTAACGAAGTAGTTTGTAGCCAGGTTCTTGATTTGTGGCGTGTCATCGATCCATTCCTGTTGCTCATTTTTTATGGCAAGGATTCTATTTCTACATTGTCTCCCATTGACCCGCGCATAGTTGATCAAAGTAAAAGTAAACCATCAAAGTTTTTTGTGTGCGTGTCTGTTGCCAAGTAGTACTCTAATCTTTACTACAACCTTCAAATAACTAATTTATAGATAATAAACAATCAATTATCAATTATCAATCATCAACATCAATATCAATATCAATATATCTACAAAAGTAGAACAGTTAGCAGTCCAACTAGTGGCACGTGTCCAATTGCACTAAATAATAATAATAATAATAATAATAATAATAATAATAATAATAATAATAATAATAATAATAATACAGTTAGAAATTTGACATGTGCAACTGAAATATTAGTAGACTTACATTTTGTTAGAGAACAAAATATTAGTAGATTATTACTAACTACTAAATTATTGCTAAATATAAATTATTATTATTATTATTATTATTATTATTATTATTATTATTATTATTATGTAGTTAGAAATTTGAAATGTGCAAGTGAAATATTAGCAGACCCACATTCGGTTATAGATGACCAAAAATTAGTAGATTATTATGATATAATAATAATAATAGCAATCTAAAGATTGGATATACCCTAATTGAAGACATGGAAGCAAAATATTGACAAATAGTAATAAACATTTTAAGCTATTGAACAGGCCCAACTTAATTTGAAACAGTCAAATTTTTGTTTCATATTATTATTAAAATAAATAATTATTATAGTTAATATCAACCAATCATCAATCATCAATATCAATATATCTATAAAATTAAACCAGTCAGCAGTCCAACTAGTGACACGCGTTCGCATTCAGTGCTCAGCACACTGCTGAGCATCAAGTGCTCATCAGTGGAATAGCGTTGTTTATGTAAATGAAGATGACGTCATAATCTACATGATAAGGATTGGCCCATTTCACTCTCTGTTTCTCATCTTTATCCCTCTTTCTCATTCCTCTTTCTTCATTCCCCTCTCTGTCTCTCCCTCTCAAAGCATTCAACTGTTGAGCATCGATTGTGAACGCTACCGAATGTGAAAGTGAAGATTCATCCCTTCTTTGTGAAGACAGTGCACGGCGGCTTCTTCCTAATGGATTATCATTTTTGTGATTTCGTGAGACTACAATTCGCTCTTTCATTTCTTGCATCACTTGTGTTTGCTCTGAGTGAATAATCAACTCTGATTTCTATTACTTTTCATATCTTCGTCTGAGTTTTTAGATCCTCCACTTCGCTTTCCGTTTAATATTCCTTTCAATTAATGAAAGCTGAATGCCAACAATTGGCTCTTCAGCAACTATGACCGCTTATTCGACTTCCTTCATAGATTTGTTAAAGATGACTATGGGTATGATGGATTTGTGTGACAAGATAATTCTGAATTGATTCTCAGTTTTGGTTTGATTCTATTTCATGTTATGTAGGTTGAAACCTCAAAATTTTTTTTATTAAGGGAGGCTTAATAGGATTAGTTGTTGGGATTCTTGAACTGTCTATTGAAGCAAGTTGGCATCATGAGGTGAGGAGATAAATGAAACAACCCTTTTTATAGATGCCAACCCTTTTTTTTGTTCTTTCATCTGATTTTGTTGTTTTGAGATTGCAGTTTGGACTCCTTCCCCGATAAAGTAACTCTAAAATCTCTTATAGTTAATAAAAGGTGCTAGGAGTAGGAAAAATGATAATTTTAGCAAAGTTAACAGTGAGAATAACTAAGCAGAAATAATGAGTTTATATTGAAGAAGCAGTAAGCAACTTCATAAATGTAATCTGAGAGAGGAAGAGAAATGATCAAAATGATGCTAAAGAGAAGAGAGAAAATTTCCTATGTACAATTTGGCTAATCATACTAAAATCAAGATTTTGTGTTTTGTTGCCCCTTTTCCCCAATTTATATCAAATAGACAATAGATATTAAATGGTGTAGGGGCTGAATAGTATCATCTCAATGTGCGTATAACTGTTTTGCATTTATCCACTAATGTTATTAGGCATCACTTTGATTTGTTTTGGTGATTCACTTATTTTAATTTATCTGAATTATAGCCAGCAAATAACCATCATGATGGGGCTAATGAACTGATTGACTAAAGGTATATGGTTTATGAATGATTACTTATAAAAATAATGAGCCACGAACAAAGTTGCAATATGTGTTCTCATGGCTTATGCCCTTCATTTTCCTCTATATATATAGGGGAAGAATTTGACAAGAAAAGGTTCCATTATAGCCACTCCACTAGTAACTCCTATATCATAGCTAAAGAGAAGACCTCCCATAACAGCCACAAAGCAAGTGAGTAACACAAAAACTGTGACTTTTCCCTCATAATCTGGCACTATTTTTTTTTTTTTTGCCTTTTGCTTACTCTGTGATCAATGAGCCTTGTTTGTTATGTATATGACTTGAAACAAAGACAAAATATATAGCCTTTTCCGCATGTAATCATGGAGTTGCCTGAAAAGGTCTTTTCCTTTCCTGTCTTTATCTATTGTCAGACTGCTTTGGTTTTCCTTTATTGTGAATTAGAATCTTTGACTGTTATTAGGGAGCTATTCAATATGTTGATGCCAACTGCTTTTGCTCTTCCAGGGCCCAAAGAATTTGTAGCTCTCTGGAGTTGCCTTGGTCATTGGCGAGTGAGTTTCATTTTAATCCTTCAACTATTTGCTTCAGATAAATTATTGTGTTCTTGTGTTGTTACCTTGAGTTATTTGTTATTAACTGTTTTTGTTGTGGTGGTGGTGTATGGACATGGACTAAATTGTTTATTTGTAAATCTCAATATAAAGTATACAATCTACATTCACCTTTGACTAGCCTCCATCTAAGAGCATCCAAGCCTAAGTTTACTGAATGTTGTCCGCTTTCCTTCCAACTTGTGTAATCTAATTAGCATTTATCATCATAAGGCAATATGGTAGCATGTTAATAGCCACAGTTCATGTCTATAGTCACATCAGAAGTGAGTAATGTGCAGGCTTTCAACAATGCTCTATAAGTGAACAACTAAATCTCTATGTGAAATATAAATTACTTTTATCATTGTGTATTTAAAGGCAAACAAAAAATGTTACAGGGGTAGATGATTGTTGTGAAGTTAAGCAATTTGCTTTAAAATGGATATACATATAGTTGTACATTGACCAAAAAATACAGCTGCAAGAATGAAAATTGTCCAATGAAGGATGGAAATTGATTTGCTATGTAATAGTTGCAGGGGTAGATGATTGTTGTGAAGTGGAGCAATGAAAGTGTCATCCTACAAAAATCATTCCATGCTCCAGGGGTGAACATAAACAGCATACAAAAAAATGTCCAAGAAGCTATGTAATGTTGGTGCATCCAACAGAAAGTAGCCAGCAAAATCTATCTTGTATGAAAAAGTAACTAGTTAGGTTTATATCATGTGATGGATGAGACAATCTTTGTATTTAGCAAGGAGATGTACTGGTGATTTAAATTGTATACAAAAATATTGAAATGAATAAAAGAATATTCTTCCTTTGACTACTTTGTGAATAATTTGCAGCAATGTCTATGACTTCAAGTGATGGGTTTTCTTTTTCTTCAGCTGCCTAGATTTCCAAATGTCAATGATTATGAGTTAATGGTATGATAACTACATTTAATTATTAGTAGTAACTAATTTATCGATTCTTATGATTAATAAACTTGTAAACGACAATGGTTGGGATGTGGGGAAAAACAGATTGAGTTGAAGATGATGGGTATGACAATGTTGAATCTTGCATTTGTGTAGGTTCTGTTAAAATTGTTATAGCCTGAGATGGCAAAGTCTCATGTGTTGGTGCATCTTTGTTTTTTCAATCTTTTCTTCTTTTCCTTGATGCTGAAGCCTCTTGAATGCCCTATAGAAAAAAAATATAAAACCAGTAACAATTTTTTCTTTTGTATAAATGTAAATTAAATAAAATTAATTACCTCTTGCTCTCTTGTAAGTCGTTTGTTAATCATTAATTTTTTTTCCTCCCAACCTTTCCATCACCGCTTTCTTTTTTTTCCTTCTCTCTTTTTGAATCCCTTAAGAATATTTTCTGACCCTCTCATTGGTGCTCTACTTAGGTTAAGAACATCTTCATTATTGTTCGGAATTTTATTTTCTATCTCAATGATGTATTTGTCAACAAACTCAAAACTTTCATGAGTCTTAGCCGCATTTGTTGCCAATCTTACCATCTTATACATTAAGTGTCTAATTCTTCTTGTGATTTCAAGTTTAGGATCTCTTTGTATCTCACTCCCCCTAACATCATACACAACACCACTCCTTGCTTCCCTGGTCCATCGCTTAATAATGTATTGCTCAGGCATAATTCTCACATCATTTGACTCATACACCTTCAATGCATGACAACACAATATCTTAGTGGTCTTAAACATTCCACAAGTGCAAGATATTTCATGTGTATTAGGTTTAAACTCAATTCTCCATTCCCCTTCTTCATCAATCATGTGGGCAATGTATATGTATAATGGTCCCTTTTCATCATGTTGAGTTAACATCACAGAGAATTGGAGATCCCATTGTGCTTGGAACAGGTCAAATGCACTGGGGGTATAAGTTAGCACAAGTTGACGCAATATAGGCATACTCTGATTGACCATCCTAGGAATTTTTTGCCAGGAATCAAACTCAAGTTTCAATTCCTTGTCTCGCTTCTCTGAAACAACTTTGTCAAAAGTGGTAAAGAATTCATTGATATCTAAATTTGGAGTTGTGCATCTTTTTACATCAGCATTCACACTTTCATTAAGCTGTATACTTCTCATGCCTAGCGTGCAAGCATTCTTTACATAGCACCAAGCCAATTTCTCCTTGATATTATACATGGAAGTCAACCATGGATTGTTGTGGACATCATAAGAATATATTAATTGGCTCCATGCTTCTTCAAACTTTTCTTCCTCTGAAATTTTAGACATGCATTTACAGAAGTCGGTCAAAAAATGTGACCCATCTTTCATTAAATTTCCAAGGTGTTTAATACCATTTTGCTTTAAATGCCAAGTGCATAAACAATGCTTTGTATCAGGAAGAATTTCACTCAAAGCTCTTGCCATTGCTTGATCTTGATTTGTAAACACAGTTTTAGGCTTTTTCTACATATGAGCTTCCAGGAAAGTTTCTAATAGCCACTTGAAAGACACAGTGGTCTCGTCATACAACAATGCTGCACCAAAAATGACTACACTTCTGTAATGATTAAAGCCAGAAAATATTGCAAGAGGTCGATGATCATGGTTTGTACAATATGTTGTATCTAGAGATAAAACCTCACCAAAAAGTGCATAATCTATCAACATTCTAGCATATGCCCAAAACACATTAGTAATTTCTTCTTCTGTGTCCACCTGATATTTATGGAAGAGTGCAGGATTCACTGCAAGCTGCTTTTGAAAATATTCAAACAGACATCTTACCTCTTCGTATTTCATACTTTTTTGCCTTCTAGATTGCAAATAGTTTTGCGACAACTTGAGTATATCCAAGATTTGCTTTGCCCCCGGCATATGTACTCATTAAATCAAATGTAGCCTTTTGTTAAAGTCCAGACTTTCTTGCTAGCTCAATTCCATAAGCATCAACTTCTGATAAGTTTCTTTGAGATGCTAACAAGTGTACAGTTTCTTGTGTGTGAAGGGGATGATTATGCTCTTCATCAAATTTAGTAATTTTATGGCTCTGATAAACAATAGATACTATCATTTTTGCCTTATAGTTAGTCCTTGTTTCTGCTCGGTACTTAGAAGAATATGTCTCCTGTTTACCTTCTTTTCGAATACCCTCTTTGGAACACACATATTTATATGTAATAAGTGAACCATCTTTTCTACTTTTTGTACCATTATACTTTCTAGCCCCAAAACAGTTCTTTTAGCATAATCTCGCCAAAATTTCCATGCTTCGTCCCAGCTTCCAAACTCTTTTCCTATTTTCGGTTTCAATTCATCCTCCATTGTAAAGTTCCTGTACACAACAAAATCCTTATATATTTAAAACATATCAGAACTTCTTTTTTTTTTTTTAAATAAATAGAAAAACTAAAATAATAATTTCATTTTTTCACATTGAACTCTAAATATCATATATACACAAACACACATATGCATCAAAATGGATTGTTAGTGTATTAATCCATACGGTTCAACATATCTGACAAATTCCTCCTCGGTGGACCACATAAATGGAATGTTCTACTTAAAAAAAAATGAATGTGTTTGTGAATTAAAATTGCACTAAATAAAAAACAATTCACAAGATTTTTTATGAACTGGGAAAAAAAACTTCACCTCTTTTGTCAGAATAAACTTCAACTCCAAATTAGTTTTCCCATATATATATATATATATATATTGTAATTAGACACCCAGAGCTTTTTGGCATATTCCAACATTCCAAATGGATGCTCTGTTTCGGTGAGCACATGCATGGTGGTCCCTTCAATATATATATATATATATATATAAAATATCAGATTTGGTTTTACTTTTTAGGCAAGATTCAATAGGAAAAAAAATTACCCGTTACTTCTTTCTTCCCCGAGTCCAACGTCTCTTCCTTCTCCCTCTTTAAGTCGAGCTTCCAGTAGTCCATCTTTGTTTTCTTTTTTTGGTACAGTAATAATATACTAATATTTTGTTTTCTAACCGAACATGGGTCTGCTAATATTTTGCCTGCACATTTCAAATTTCAAATTTTATATTTTTTAAATTACTAAATTATTACTAAATATAAATAATTATTATTACTATACAGTTTGAAATTTGAAATGTGAAAGCAAAATAGTAGCAGACCCACATTCGGTTAGAGATAACAAAATATCAGTAGATTATTATGATATTATAACAACAACAACAACAATCTAAAGATTGGATATGCCCTAATTGAAGACATGAAACTAGAGGTGGGAATCAGGATCGGCCCTTCAGGGTTGGCGGGCTTAAAAGGACCGGCTCTCCAGGGTCGAAATTTCAAAAATACCTCAATTTGCTAGGCCCAGCCTTTAAACTAACGGGCTCAGGGCCGGCCTGTAGGCTTTTGGCCCATTTAAGGAAAAAAAAACTATTTTATATTTCTCATTTTTTTTATCAAAAAAATGAGAACAAACCAATGAAATTGTTAATAAAAGACATAAATATGAATAAAATTAAGTCACAAATACAAAATATCATCATATATAAATATCCATTAACATCCAATAACATTTAGAACATTCATTAACAAGATAATAACATCCAAAAGTTTTATATATAGTGCAACTGTGCAATAAATAAACACTATTATTAATTTTTTGAAACTTCATCATCACTATAATCAATTACTCTTCTTCATAAGTATCTTTTCTTTCGTAACAAAACTATCAAGTTTTTCTTCTTTATAGGAATTTTACTTTTAAATTTTACAATCTAGCTATTATTTAACTTTAATGTGAGAAACATTATTGCTAAAACTCATGAATTTCTAATTCATATTATAGAATCACAAGTTATATAAGTATAAAAATACTCTATTATCAAATATATATAGTTTAAAAATATCAACGCATATAATATAAATCAAATCATTATTAAAATCCAAATTAACCCATTTTTTTAAAATTTAATTGGATAAATTATTGTCTAAAAATTAAATAAATCAAATGATTATGTAAAATTTAATTTTAAAATGATAATAATAACTAAATATTTGAAATATTATTAACAATATAAAAAATTAATAATATTAGAATTACATAAAAAATTTAAAAATATAAAAAAATTATAAAAGGGCTTAAACGGGCCGGCCCTTTTAAGCTTTCGGCCCTCTAGGGCTTGTTTCCCATTTGAGGAAAAAATTTAAGCTTGGTCCTCATAATTTCAGGGCTTAAAAGGGCCAGCCCGACTAGCTCAGCTTGTTTTCCCGACTCTACAGGAAACCAAAATATTGGTAGATAGTAATAAATCTGTTAAGTTATTGAACTTGCCCAACTAATTTGAAATAGTCAAATTTTTGCTTCATATTATTATGAAAATAATTGTTATAATAATCAAAATACATTGTAGAATATCTTAAGTATAATAGAACATAATTTAACAATAATGTGCAAGCGAAATATTAGCAGACCCACTTTCGGTTAGAGATAACAAAATATTAGTAGATTATTATGATATAATAATAACAATCTAAAGATTGGATATAGGCAATTGAAGACATGGAAGTGAGATATTGGGTGATAATAATAAATCTTTTAAGTTATTGAACATGCCCAACTTAATTTGAAACGGTCAAAGTTTTGTTTCATATTATTAGGAAAATAATTATTATAATCAATATCAATATCAATATCAATCAATATATCTATAAAAGTAAAGTAGTCATTAGTTCAACTAGTGACACGTGTCCAATCGCACTAAGTGATATAATGAGCCAATCAAAATCATATAGTTGAATTAAAAATTAAAAAGGTGATATAATAATAAATAATATATAACTTATCGATAATTACTAAGAATAAAAAAATCATGTAGGTTTAACTTGAATTTTCTTACTCAAACAATTATAGCTACTTTTATTATGAAAAATATTTATTGATATAATGAATTTCTTATATCACTTTTTATTTTAAACTTTTAGTTTTATTAAGTAAAAGGATTCAACTTACTCAAAAATATGAAATTGGTAAGCAAAAATTCCAACAATTTTGCAATTAAATTGTGATTGTAATATAAAGTTTAATATATATATATATATATATATATTCTGCTTTTCTAACAGTTCATTATATTTTCAAAAATTCCAACAATTTTGCAATTAAATTGTGAAGACACTAAGGAGTCCATTGTCTTATCCAAATCCTTTCCTGGTCTTCATTACTAGTAAACATTTGCATCTTCATCATATATATTGTTGAATTTTTCATAACTTTTTTAAGATCTTTTTTCTTTTTAATTTCTTGCTTTCTCTTTGCCGCCTTCAAAGGAATTTGATGATTTTTTATTGTTTAAGCTAAGATTGCAAATGTAATTTAACCCCAATATCTACTTCCTAATGATGCCTAGTTCCTTTCATAAGCATAGCTAAAATCCACGGTTGCAAGTCTTGGGTTAGGCTAACGTTCACTAATCTTTTGCATTTCGATTCTTTTAGCATTAAAATGGAACATGCCTCCCTTGCGCATTGCTTCAGATAGGAAGGCAAAAGATTCTTATTTGATGAATTTGAGTATTAGAGAGTTCATTTCGAATTTGCAAATTGCATTTTGTATGGTTGGTTAGGATCACGCAAGGAAGTCATGGTTGAGAAGCCAAACTAAACGTCTAGGTTAAGGTTCAATCTGATATATTCAAAATACTACTACTTAGCTGAGAATTACGAACGCTATAAATTGGAGAATGAAAAACGCGAAGCTAATGAGTTATGTGATCAGCAAGAGAAACATGATCAACACGAAAAATACTTTAGGCGAAAATTATTTTTCAGTCAATAACATCCCACCTGTAGAAATAAAAAATACTAAAAGAAATCATTAATAAAACATTTAATCAAATACATAATCATAAATATACAAGCAACTATATCAATCATCATTAAACAAATAAAAGCAAACACATAATTAAATAGTTTGTTCAACGGAATTGTTAAAAAACGGTAAATTCTAGATATCTTTTCGTAGGATTTCTGCAGAATGGATAATAAGTGTGAACAAACAGTTAACAAGGATATAGTTAACCAATCAAGCATGGCTATAAAGATAAGTAACCAAGCAAGCACGACTTGAAGCCGTGAAACAAGCATAGGTAAAATTACATAAGGGCATTATATGGTAAAAATAAAATCATTCTCCTAACATGATTGGGATTTGAATCATCACCCCCGAGATGAGCAATAGCCTCAAGTTACTGGGCCACAAATTTACTTTTGTTAGAAATTTATGATAAATGATTAAAATATTAATTGAGAATTAATTAATTATCTCATTATTTTCAAGGCCATTACAAAAAACCGTTATAAAATGCTGTTTTTTTTTCTTGTAGTGTGGGGTCAACTAGCATCTTGCTTGACTGCAAATTTAAACAAGTCTACATGCTTAGCACCTATTTGGTTTAAAGGTCCAAACGTGCTTAGGAGTTTGTAGAATGGAGATTTGAAGCTCATTTATTATTTGTGAACTGTTTGGATGGGCCTTTTGAAAAACCAACTTTTAAAAAAAAAAAAAAAACTAATTGCGTTGAAAAGCTCTTTTTTACTACGTTAGAGGAAAAGTCAATGAACAACATGACGAGAGAAGGACAAGCGCGAACTAAAAGGCAAAAATAAAGCTACCTTATATTATTTGGAAAAAAAAAAGGTAAAATCACTAAGAAAACTCGATAACTTAATATTTGAAAAAGTATTCTAAGAAGAAAAAAATTAACTAAAAAAATTAATCATGAGAGTACATTACAAACCCAATTGATATATATCACTAATTTTTAGTTGAGCTCTAAAAATGTGCCAAAAAAAATTCAATAGCCATATATACAAAAATTACATTAAATATATCTAATTAAGTGTTTTTTAGTATTTATAATTTTTTATAATATATTAACTTTTTATTTTTAGGAAAAATTACAAATAAAGACCCCCAAATATGTAAAATTATGCTTTGGGATCCTAAATTTAGAAAATAGCAAATAAGAATCCGGTCTTACTTTTGTAAATATGAAATGTGAGTGAAATATCTGAAATGCTTCCTTAGTCAAATTGTGATTTGGTTTACTAAAGTTGTCATTCGCTAACGTGAACTTGTCATTTCCTATAATCAACTTATCATTTGACATATCCTTAGCTAAGTTGTGATTTAGTTTACTGAAGTTGTCATTCGCTAAAGTAAACTTATCATTTCTTATAGTCAACTTGTCATTTAGTTGAGAGGCATTTTAGACATTCACCCACATTTCATATTTGCAAAAGTAGGACAAGTCTTTATTTGCTATTTTTCAAATTTAGAGTCTCAAATTGCAATTTTACATATTTAGGGTCTTTATTTGCAATTTTTCCTTATCTTTATACTTTTAATTTTAATTTTTTTAAATTTATCAAATTTTATATTACATTTCTAAAATAAAAATCATCTTTTTTTTAGTTATTTTATATTTAAACTTGCTTTTCCATTACTCATCTGAGCAATTTTCAACTTATTAACCTAATATTTTTTATAAAAGCTAATCCAAACATAAATCACATTATACTTGCTTTTACTCTAAATTGTGTTTACAAAAGTTAAATAAAATAAAAGCTACTCTTATCACTGCTAATCCAAACACACCTTTAATATGAGATTGAGTGAGTCAAAACTTTTTTGCTAGGCCAAATATTATTGTTAATGGTAGAACGTTGTTAAGCATATGAATAGAAAATTGTAGTTGCACTTGGCACGTCATTAATCAATTTTTCTTACACAAAGCCAACTTGTAACTGAACCATTACCACCCTTCATAGATCGCCATTATAAACAATTCCTTTAAAAAAATCATATCGGAAGAATATGTCAGCTAAATTGACTTGATTTACGTGGTTAATCCAATTGTAACGCTAATTATAAATTATATATAAGTCATTGTTTTGCTTCATTG